AATAGGACAAATTACAGTGCGGTTACGAACCATCAACAAAGGCTACCAGATAAACAAACAAACAAACATCCTTTCAGATTCTCTACAGAATACTACCTAGGCATAACCGTCGTGTAAGATCAAGCCTACTTGCCACCGCTGAGGCAGTATGCATACGCCTGACAAAACCGGACTTGTGTGTCCAAAAGAAGATGATACAAACACTACAACTTCCGTGTTTGACCACCAGACGGGAAGGAAGTGATGGCACTCCGCCACTCCACCTGACTTCAGTCATGTGGTCACATGACTGCCATCATGATCGCAAGTTAAATTTTCCGATCAATTGTATCTTTGTTATCCTGACGATTGCAACAGTCATTATCATCATCATTATACACGTTAGCTAGAGGTGGGAAACACCACAGCTACTGTGCCACAATACATAGAAGAAAAAATGCAACAGGTGAAAGCTAGCTGAGCTACCGGTAAGGGTTGGGCATCTTTCCGGTAAGCTACCAGCCGGCTACTATGCAGCAAAAAATTACTATGCAAAATTATATTAGGCTAAATAGTGAGATCGTGATTGGAGAGGGAGGCTGAGGGATGGGGTGGGACAAAGAAACTCGCGGCACGAACGCCACGGAGGTCGGCTCCTAGCCATATCAGCAAGTGTGTCCAACCAAACGTGTTCATCGTCTTTCGGACCCCAACCAGGGAGCCGAGACGCTCCAACTGAGGCCAGCTCCGAAATGAGGGCCTTCATTACTTTCGACCAAATCATCGCTTGGCCACCTCTCCTCTTCTTCCATCCACACCCCTGGTGCGCATACAACGCACATCGCGGGAGAAGATGTTGCCATGCGTAACACGTGGCCGAATCATCGAAGCTTGGTGCGTGACATAACCGTGCTGAATGGTTCATGTACTTTTTCTGTGCAGTAAAGGCGTCGAACACGCTCGTTGCTAACTCGGTGTTCCCACCAGATGTGAGCTGAATTGCGAAGGCACCGGTGGTCGAACGTAACTAGCCTGTTTGGATCCGCTGCTTTGATGGGCTAGGTTTCACAACCGCACAGTAGGGTCGAAGGTACCGCTGCGTTGTACACTACCCTTCAGGCGAGAGTGATGTCGCGCCGGCGCCCTAAGTGGCGAAGATTAGCAAAAGCGCCTCTAGCTTTTGCTATACGGTTCGTGATCTCATCTTCAATCCCACGGGCGCTGATACAACTTCCCAGGTAGTTGAATTTATGAACGACTTCTAGCTTATCCCCACCAAGGGTCAGTGTAGTAGGCGGTTCAAGTCAATCTTGAAGGAAAACTTTGCATTTCATGGGCGCAAAGCAAAGCCCGATACGGCTGACCGCTAGTGCTAATCTGTCCAGTGCCGCTGTCACAGATTAGGGCAATGTCATCAGCATATATCACAAAGTCGTTCTCCTGGGAGCAGATCTACACCTTCTAAGTTGTGTTTTGTGAACGCGATTTCCATTAATTCCTTAGTAGCGAAGTTGTAGAGGAAAGGTGATAGCGAGCTGGAAATATTAAAGGGCGACGACAACGTGTCGTAAACCCTCACTCTGCTCGAGCTACGCGAGTATAATGCTGGAATAATATTTACATATTTCTCAGGTACACCTTTCCTGAGTAGACAGTCCCAATGTGCACGTCTATCCACCGAATCGAAAGCATCTTTGATATCGAGGAACACGACAACGGTGGGCCGCCAATGTATGTGACGGTGCTCCAACAACTGATGCAAAGTGAAGATGTGGTCAATGCAGCCACGACCTCGACGAAACCCGGCTTGCTCTTCACGAATATGGCTTTCACGAGTGCCCGTCAGTCTGTGAAAAATGACAAAGGCAAGCAATTTGGAGGCGATGGTGATCAGACTGATTCCTATATGATTGCCGCATTCCGATCGTGAGCCTCCTTCGAAAATTGGGACTATGACGGAGCGGCTCCAGTCGGTTGAGACAGTTTCCTGCTCCCACAGTTTGACTAGTAACTCGTATAAATCATCCATAAGAGCAGATCTCCCGAATTTGAAGAGGGCTGGATGAAGGTCAACTGGTTCCGCGGCTTTGTATAACTTCAGCAGTTCGATCTCACGTTCGACTTCTGAGCGAGTGGGTGGATCCAGAGGAACAGCCCAGGGAGCGGGGCGATCAGTGGCCGGCGAGAAATCTAGCAATTCCGACCGATTAAATTGCCTTACAAAATGCTCAGCCCAACGCTCCAAGCGTTTTGACAAGTTGTGGATAGGCTGTCCACTCTCGTCACGTATAGTTTCACTAACACCAAGTCTCCTGCTGCTCGTTTCCCGTACCAACCGGAATAACTTACGATGGTTACCAAGGACAGCGGCCATTTCCATCTCTGAAGCGCGATAAGACCACCAGGATTCGCGGTCTCTCTTCAGACTACCACGGACTTTTGCCCGGAGTTCTTTGTGAGTTTCATTGTGTTCGCTTCCAGCCGGAATATGCCGGCAAGCATCGATAAGTTCCAAAGACTGCGAAGAGACCTAATGTCCATGTTGGCGATTAGACTTACGATTGCAACAGACCTTACCCTAATCTATCGTGTTGTATGAGCCTGACGGGGAGTTAGTCCAAACAATTGTTCCCTTAAAGCTTCGTGTTTTATTTTTCTTTCTGAACCTGAGGATGAAGTTTATGAAACGATCATGCTCCACACTTCCAAGTCTCCGAATTGAGAGTCTGGATTTCCACGGGTCATCCTTTTTCGTAGACTCATTTTCAGATCTATCCTTCCAGCCCTTGTATCACGAATCGAAAGTGAGACAGGATGTAGCATCGTAGTGTAACTCTGCGATAGAAGCTGCAATGATATCGGCTGAGGATACCAAACTATTACTTGTTGATGGAACTGTTGGTTGAATAGAGAGGGACTGAACGAAAGTTAGAATGAGTCGCAATTGGGATTGCTTGAACTGCGATTGTTGTTGCTGTAGGATTGCTTTCAAATCCTCAGTTAAAAGTGACTTAGTTGGATCCATTTCAGGATAAGATCAGTAAGAAGCTGCAATGGAGGAAAATATAGTTCTTACTGAACATAAGTGTCAACAAGGGGAATGAATTCGTTTGGGAGTAGTTCTCCTGACAACCTGGCAAGCGTTCTGCCTACAAAAAGCTACATATGTCCGTTTAACAACACTGCGATGTGGCAGGTGTGACCCGCCACTAAATATTCACTGCCCCTTCATTCCATTGGAGCATTGTATCCAGCAACGCACAGCTCGAATTGTTGGGACTGCACCCCTGCTTGTCAACCGAACAAACGAAAGGCGTATGAACTGTGCAATCAATCACGGGCTCCCAATTGGCGCGATTCCCTGAATTCGCGCAGCTGCTTTGCGTGAAGGCTATTTAACTAAGGGCTCGGGGTGGTGTCCCCTAAGTCAACATCCTACTTCGGCACAGGCAACCTGGTAGTATCTTGCCGTCTGACGAAACCATGGATTTCTCTTCTTTCTATGACAGCTGTACGTTTCTACGATTTCCATTGTTTTTGATGCCTCTTTGTCTATGCGCATATATATATATATATATATATATATATATATATATATATATATATATATATATATATGCCACATGCTGAGGCTGACGTTGCATTCCTCACCTTTCTTCACCGCAGTTGGGCTAAACCAACTTACACTTAAACTAGGTCTTTTTAAGCTGGATACATTTCATTCCACATTACTTAGTTTGTTCTGCCTACCTGAATAATCTTCTACTAACTGGCCAAGTTGCTAACACTAATTGCGCTTATCAGTAACTTTGTTGCGTTTGTAGCATTTTTAACTAACTTGTGGACATTTCTTACTTATCGCGGATTCGTCGCTAACCAACTTGTCGGCCGGTGGCCGAGTGGTCTGTACGTTTGTTTTGCAACCATAAGGTTACCGGTTCGAATCCGCGTAGGGGTGGGCGTCCTCGCGGTATACTCAGCCCGCGCGCGACTGGTGGTGGTCGCGCGGCAGCGAAGCGCCGTTACGGCGTACAGCTGACACATTCTTATTTTTATTCTTTTGCTAACCAACTTAATTCATATGCTAATTTAGCGAAGAGATATGCCGCCGTATCTGTATGCATTACTGTTTTTTCATCTTGTCGTTTCAAGGGATTGACTGTTGCTTGATATCCCCGGTGTGGCTGCGCTTGATGTGCATGTTGACAAAATGCCTACCTACCTGTCTGTTACCCCCACCTCGTCCATACTGGCTCCAGCAGACAGTTGGTCGTTGCTGGAGGGGCGGATGCACGGTCCTTGTGGTCTTGCTAGACTCGAAGAGCGGTTCCATGCACTCAGTGTGGAGCGGACTACGGTCCAGCCACCGCCTTGTGTGTGCTTGATTCCCGACATACGCTGTGCTTGTGTTTGCCTGTGAAGGAGTGTGGACCGGCTCCGTTGATGAAACGTGGCTCCTATCCACATGCCTCCCGGTCTTATTCCTTCGGTTTACACTGGATATGGGGTGTGTGGTTGGAGCTGTGGGTGATGCAGCGCAAGCCATCCATGGTCCCTCCGTAGACGCAGGTGTCCTGTGGCTGGCTACGGTTACAGTGATTGAGACTGAGAATCGATCAACGGCCGCTCGGATCTGGCAGTATCTAAGAAACTTTGCGATTCAGAACTTGGAAGTTGCATTGTTGATGGTGCCTACCTTGCCAATGAAAGGTCTGCAACTGAAACGCCTCGCTTGTAACACATAACTATCCTTTCGGAGACTTCAGTGATGCGGAAACCCGGGATCGTATGTCGCAAGCCATATATGAACCAATATGAGCTGTCACCTCAGGTTATGGTGCTTTGTCAAGAATTTTTTCATCATAATTGCATTTTCTGGATATTGGCTTCAGAATCATGGGTTGTGATTTCTCTATGTAGGCCTTACTTTCTATTACTTCTAACGTATCGTCTTGTGTATGTCTGCTTACTCAACCTTATTGTATTTTAGCTCAAACCAGCCCAGCTTCGGACAGATACTAATGACACATGCTTACCGCTGCCCAACTCCCAATTCATCCACTCTTCTCTTTGATGGTCCTGAGAGCAGAGGTGATTCCTCTCACGTCTCATCCAAGACCATAGTGGAAAATCACGGCTTTAGCTCCTCTTCTTCCGGGATTGACGCTCAGTTGAGCCGAGAGTATCGTGTAATCGACCCATCTGGCACACTGACTCAAGTTACATCTTCACATTCTCATCCTCAGTTGGTTGCATCAGCGGAATCCACAGTATCATCCTTTTTGCCCCGACAACAGATATCCATCGTTAACTCAACAGCAAATATCGCTTCACATGTTGAATTTGAAGGTTCTGAAGCATCTACTCAGTCAAAAGCCTCACGAATCAGCTCAAAGGAGGCAATTCGCGTAATCATCGGAGCTATTACTGCACAGATCAACTCGGTTCAAGAAATGCTCAATTATCTGTGCAAATTAGTGAAGGCAGAAAAGGCGGTGCAGCAAGCACTCTGTGAATTGGTGCCATTACAACTCAGTGACAGTTCTTCTCACTCTAGCTACAATTCGGACACCAGGAATGCGCGGGTTCAGCGGTTTCCACTAATTTCTACTCGCCGGCATCGCACTGGGCTTTCTGCCTTGACCAGTCCCGCTGCGATGGACGCGGAGCTGGGTAAAGTACGTTATCTTCCATGTTTGGTATATGTCTCACTCTACGAACTTACGGTAGCTACAATTTTTATTAGTGTCGTCCGTTTGCTGAGAGTATTGTTGCATGTTTGCGTTGTACTTGTGAGCTCGCCGGTTTTAATCCACGTAGGCGCTGGTGACCTCACGGTGTACTCAGCCCTCGCATGACTGGTAGTGTCGATGCGTTGTGCTGGCGTACTTTCGCTGCCTTGTTTGTTAGTGCGGTAGGATTTTTGAGTGGTGTCTTACACTAAATGTTGCATTAAGCCGCACGCGACTTATTTTCAATACAGATCGCGATTACATTACTTTCCATGAATTCATACATCTGCGCCTTTTGGACAGAACAGTAAGGAAATACGGGTTGCGTGTTGGTGCCCATTTCGTACTCTCTGTTCACATACAAACGAGCAACATATGTGATGACGTGGCGAAATCGAAAGATCACATACTAACGAAACTAAAAACTGGCTGCAAGTTGGGGACATATCGCGTACTTCATGCGAGTTTGATTATAGATTCCGTTTGCTTTTGGACGCGGTGTTGGACGATGTTGGCTTATGGTCATTGTTTCGGAAAACTTTACGACTTTGGCATTTGTGATACCATAGATGACAGCAAACGCGTTTTACTCAAGTCTTTGACAATCAGGGAGGCATATATCTTGTTTGTTGACACAGGTTGCGTTTGTGATTTCCTTCTCATGGCGCTCTGAAATGTGCTGTCCAATCCGCTTACACAAGAAACGGTCTGTTCTGCCGATATAACTGTCCACATTGTTACAAACAAACCGTTAACTGCAGTGCGTTGTGGTGGAGACCGGCTCAGCAGGCTTGACTGGGGAAACCGGTAGTTTTTTGGTCGCCCAGCGAGGACAGGATTTAACATCATTCAATGCACGTCGTACTGCAACTGCGTAGCCACATCATCTCTGGAGAGTAGCCGTAGACTAACTCGCATTTTTAGTGTCCATAGCAACGACCTGGTGTTCACTTTCCACAGGGTCGCTATGACAGCTATTAATTACTTATGGGTAGTCATTCGCCCTTAGTGTTTGTGATGAATCGTAAGACAGCTCCGATGCATTCAGTGCTGCATGTTCCGCGGGCCCGATTGAATAACGTCTTAACAAGGGAACTTTTTATATTGAACTTGTGTAAAACGGTTAAAGCGTTCATACAAACCGGTCCATGTAGCTTTCCGGTAAATTGTCGCTGTATCGTGCCATCTTCTCGTCAATAGTACATCCGAAAGAGGCAGACGACTATCATCCTCTACTTAGCAGATAAAGTGGACGTTCAGGTATGCAAAATTCATAGCTTTGAGAATGGAATGGGCTAACCCTAAGGATGATATGATTATCAACGTGTCGTTGACGTACATCTTAGCACAATCGACCGGGGTCTGACTCACATGGAGACGAAGATATTCTCCAGCGTAAGGTCAAATGCACTCCCATCTACCTGTCGATATGCCTGCCATTCGAACACGACGTACAGATTTTTCGCGCAGAGTACCAACTGATTCTTCAGATACTCTACAGGAATCGGCAGAAGCACTTTCTCTCTGGCGACGTATTACACCGTTTCTGTCAAAGGAATGTTGGGCAACAGAGACTGTACCTCCATGGAGCACACCACCTTGTCCTCAATATTAATTTCACACAGCTGTTCAGTCATCCTGAAGATGTCTTTCAAACTGTACTTCTGAATGAGCGGGGCATTATCTTTGTGAATTTTGGATAGGCCATACATCTGGGTGATATCAGTGCCCAAGGGCTTAGGAGCGTTGTGTGTCACCTGTGTTATCACCCTTGCATCTGATTTAATTTCAACTTATTGCTTTTTGTTATTTTATCATTTGCTATGTTTCTCTTGTAAGTTCGCCAGCCCGTAGCTTCAAGGATCACAAGCCTGCCCTGTAATCTGGGGGCGCAGGTTCTTACCTGCGTGGCGACCGGGCGACCCTCGTAGTATCCTGAGTCTGCGTGAGACTGTTGTTGGTTGCGCGGCAACGAAGCATCGGTACTGCGTACTGACATGCTGCTAATGCCTTAGCCGTTTGTAAGGGAATAGAGAACAAGCAATGGCACCATCTTGCTTCACCCGCCTTCTTATTTTCCACCTATTGTTGGCTCCGGCAACGCTTTGTAGGTGTTGACGACCACCTAACACATACGACCAGTTGATTGTCTGATTGTTCGCTGAGCTCGGCAGGTTGACTGCAAACGTTTCGTCACCACTCGAGGTGACATCGTCAGTGCGAGTGTATTTAGCAGAGTGGCGCGTAGGAAGCGTCAGTGAGTACGTTTGGCATCTGTTGCTTCCGCCTCTGCTATCTGATGTTAGATTACCCATTTTCTCTGTGGACCTAACCATTTACCCCAGTCGGAATGTGATTTCTCCCACTCTGCTTGATTTGTGACTACTCTAGGTATTTTCGGATGAAGGCTCAGTGGTTCTCGAGAGTAATTGGATATCGCGTCTTTCTCTATAATTCAGGATGAGGCTCTTTTGATGTGGTCGGATCATTGCACACATGATTGGGCAAAAATATGGCTCAAGATAAACAATCCGACAGTTCTAGGCTAATGAATGGAGTAGAATGCAGTGCTGGCATCTAATACAGTACACAGCAGCTCGCTTTAAAATTTCCGTGGTATTTTATTCTTGTTGCTGTTTAGCACATTGTTTTCAGTCTCTGAGACCATGGAAAGTGAATTGTGGTGGGTATTTGTGTCGTGGTTCTTCTGACTTTCCGGACTTGAGTCATCACCTTGCGTAAATTAAGGCACCCTGTCAGTATATGGAGTATTGAACACTGCAGAGAAACAGAACGAGGAGATATCTCTGTGCAGTTGCATCTACCCTCCCTCATGTACAGTGCTTAGCCTTTCTGACATTTCATGTCGGCAAAGTGTTTCTCCAGGAACTTTTCGTATTCCGACACCGATTTTATTTCGATGACTTGCGGTGGCAGGTTGTTTTCCTTACACTCACTACCCTTCGTTCGAAGTAGAGTTGGTGAGCAGCTCGTTTCTAATCCGGTACCACAAGTTTTTATCAGTGTCCTCGTGTGCTGCTTGGTGTGCGAATATGGAACAGCGGTCTCAGCATGAGGTGATCACCAAGATGTAATGTCCGATGTGTCATGATGGGGTCAGCTCGCTCCCGGTTGTACCCAGCGAATTATCAGTAAACTTTGGCACTGTTCTACTGATAGTTTGTCCCTTTTTTATTGAAGCAGAGAGCAGTGACCGATAGCAATTGATTTTTACTTTGATTTGTTGTGTTGTGTTTTATTCTACTGTTTCTGTACCTTCGTTTGAAACCCATGGTTTCTGATGGCATTATGTCTGTTAGCAGACTTTTGCAAATATATTTACTTTGATTTGGGTTATTTTCTCGAGTGGTCAGCGTCGGACTTTGGCCTCACCTTTATATTTATTGTTTGACAACCTGACACTTGTTTTCAGAGATCATTGATCTCATTCTCTACTGATGAACGGTCTGCTTCACCACCAGTGACCTTTTAATCCTGGAATGTTACTCTTTTCTTTTTATTTGCGCATATCATACATACCGCTTTACTGTATCCGTTTACCCACTTGTAAAGAGGGATCTATTCCCTTTATTACTTTTAAGAGAGTCCAGTATTTGCATCGCAGCCAGCGTTGTACCTCAAATTTCTATGCCGCTTTAGATACTACAGAGCTTGCTGACCTCAACAAACCAGCAGGCCCGTGCCTATTCAACACGTGCTCTGTTCCACAAGGTTGTCACTGTGGCTCAACTGGAAAGCTTGGCCGCGTGCCAGCAGTGTATGAAGCGTGCTTACATGGACTGTGAGGGCGAATTGCAGTCACAAGGAAACCAGGTAAACCTCTCATATCTATTCAGCTTCGTCGATGTTTCGTGTCTAAACTCTCTTGTCGTTTCTGGTTATTCGTTCTTCTTGCACCAACAGTGAATGCACCGGAATGCAGCACACACAGATGCGAGGCATATGTCCAATGTTTACCTACTGCTCTTGTTATATGTCGCCTCGTTGCTCGGAACCTTCTCGACGACAGTGAAGACATTAAACGCTAGGCCTTGTTGGACCCCTGTTACTTGCGAAGTATTGTTCACATCTGGTGAGAACACCGGATAAGCAACGCTGAGGTTCATCAGCTGCTTTTTTGCACAAAGCCTTCTCTCGAGTGTTTGATGAATTTTAGTCGGTTGCGTTTGCTAGACCATGTCCTCCGTATGCCCATTGACCCGGTTCCTCGAAGTGCATTATACGCCGTGGCTGCACTAAGTTGGGCGAAACCGTAAGATGGCCAGTCCATGCCGTGGCATAGAGATATGAAGAAATCGACTGATAGACTTGGTCAGGCTGACGCGTGGATAAGGTCTTCGGGATGGTCTACACCAATGGTTGGAGACAGTGTCAGACATGGCGTAGTCACGCAGTCATTGGCCTTCCTGCATTCGGTTTCTTGCATCTGGTCATTCCTTCTCGTTCCATTCTAATTACTTTAATGCGCTTCCTTCTTTCTTCCGTTTTCTTTACGTTTTCTTTGCATTAAACTCCACTATGTTGATGTTGTCGTTATTATTTATGTCGACGTTGTTGACTTCGTTATTTATCCTTATTCTTGTGATGTGAGTCGTGGTAACTAGATCCACGTAACTTCGGTGTTCGGATCATAGTTGTTTAACTGAACTGAACTGAGCTTTGTTGGTCCTGTTTGCTGATTCCTTCTAACAAGGCTCGTATCACTTAACCGCCTGGCCTCCTTCAAGTCCTGAGAGATCACGGATATACCTTAGCACTTGACTATTGGTGACACTGTTAAGCACTGTTATTGGCCTAGTTCACAGACGTGTGTACAAAAATTTCTAAGTGAATTCCCATAGACAGTCAGTGCCGCACTATAGTGGCATACATACATCTTCGGCGTCACAACTGCGCTCCACGCCCACAGTCGATCACTGAACTCCTTAATAATTACCTAACTGGACTCGTACATGTTCAGGTTTACTAATAGTGGGAAACCGGGTGGCTACTTTTGTTTACTTGCATACAGGTTATTCCTGCGAAAGCCGTTCGAACACACACCACAGTTTAGGGAAGTAATGGAGGTTGGATCGGGTTATATCGACGTTAGCTCTCAATCCACGATTGTCAGCTACCGTCCCCCCTTGGCCCAATGGCATAACCTACTGGGTAATGTTTGGTTCGGTTCCCTGTAGGGGATCGTGGGAATGCACACCACCGATGAGTCCCAATAGGACGAATTGGCCTTCTAGCGCTTGTTTGGTAGTTGGTCTGTCTGGCTTGTATTCTGATTGCGATGAGTTATATAAAATTCAGTTTCCATCAGATGTCATCTACCTATCCATAATGTTTTCAGTGTTGAACAGTGTGAGGAGGCGATCAGTTGACTTGGGCTTTTTGGTTCTGTTGAACCTACCAATTAGCTTATCAGTTACCATCTGTTCTCTATCCCGATGTTACACTACGATTATATGGATCTTGCGGATGCGTTCTTTACGATCACTCACCCGAGCAGCTTTGATAGTCGCTTTTGAGTTTCCTTCCCCTCCAGAACAGGCTCGTAAGCCATTGGTCATTCTCTTTCACTTAATCAGTTGTCATCTCACACACAATAGCCCTTATATGTGGACGCAATTCGGTCGAATCACAATTTCAACCGTTTCCTGGAACGCTGCATTTTCTGCTAGACTGTCGTTTTAAAGAGTCGACGTCTGCCTTCTAACTTAATGTATCCTCACTCAGTGCTTTTTCATGTATTTGTTTCACGCGTAAACTGGATGGTACATTGCTCAAAGGGCTTTCTAATGTGTTCGGCATATGAACTCCACCACGAGTTAGATATGTCACTTTTCTCCCTTCTACTATGAGTCCTCCTTGGATCCGATTCTCTTTCTATTGATCTCACCGATTAGTTGTTTAAATTCAGTTGCTTTCAAATTGCTGGAAAGCAGCCACTTTTACTTCTGCTACTTTTTCACCCTGAATACACACTATAGCATTAAGGATTACAAGCCTAAAATGTTTCGAAATACCGGTAGCTCGGGTTGGTGAATCAATTGTTCATTTGTTCTCCGAGCTTGGCGCAGGTTCGAGCCTGCGTAGGGGACCGGGCGACCTTCGCAGTCTCCTTAGCCCACATGCGACTGGTGGTGGTTGTGCATCAGCGAACCGGCAGTACTGCGTACCGGCGTACTACCGATGCCTTCTTTTCTCTCTGAGTGCACACTGTTGATTATACAACTAATCATTTCCTACATTTGTTATACCTAAGAGTCAACATAGTTACCGGAAGTTTACTTCTTGTTTGGAACAGTTACTGTCTAGCAAATTGATTATGCATGCTGCTGCGCAATACCTCTAAACCATTTTCCCTGCATACCTTTACCTAAACTTCCTTTCTGGAGCTGCTGTGACATTGTCTGGAAACGTCCTTGATGATTTACACACTTTACGTCGTCGCTACTTGTCAACAGTCAGACTTCCACTCCCCAAACGCTTTGATTTTTCCGGTGCATTCAACCTCGATATCGGTTTGCTTTCATATCATTCGACACATCTGAGAAGTGTCGTTTTCTCACGGATGAATAAAGACTTGATCACGAGACGTAATGGGTGTGACACTCGATCAGACCGGGATGACAACCACACTTGAATGGGAAGGACTGGGGGGACATTCGTATACCACGATCAGTAGCGCATGCCTTATGCTTCTACCGGATAAAATAATTCTTTTAGTCCCTCACACGTCATGCTAGCCCATATGTTTTTACATTAGTGATGTTAATGATCTACACAAAGCCGTTTTCGTTCTTCAACCTTGCCTCTCTCCGCCATATATTCTATCACCACATTTTTCACTCAGCTGCTGACGTTTAGGGCTTTTTTTGTTCTTTCTAACCTGCAGATCGCAGGAATGACGCGAAGTTGTGTAGTCTACTGATATGTTTGCCCCGATCCAGTATTCAACAAAACCTGCTAACTGGCATGCATGCAGCAGTTGGTGCTGCTCATCCAATGACTAGACAACCATACCATGCTTTTACATTTTCCCTATCGTAATCATCTCTGAGGCAGAGGACTCGGGATTATTCACTAACGCTCTATTGATGTTTGTTTTGCCTTACACTCGAGCAGCCGCTCTCTTGACCACGAGAGTAATGTAGACTTGCCCTATCTCACAAGCCTCTTCATGCAATTACTAGTCCTGTCTGGACGGGCACCCACACGACAATACGGGCACAAGCCACTAGAACCCCGGACGAGAGCAACAGCAGCTTTGACTGATCGGATGTGGAGAGATAGTGTATGTCCTAGCTATACCCATGGATCTAAGGCCTTAATCACAGGGTATTCGATCAATGTGGATGATGCTGTTTGTTCCAGGTACGGTTTGCATTTCGCCCCAACTTTTTCCTTTGCAGTATGCACTGAAGCTGAAAAGTTGTGAGAAGAAATACTCCAAATACGCAGAACAGTTGGCCACCTTGCGGTTAAAATTGACGCGGCTGTACGACAAGCGTAAGTTTCAGCGCTGTTTTCATAGAATTTCACCTCAGTAGATGAGCTAAATTAACTAACAGTTGGAACTGTAAAATATTTCAATGAGCGCTTTCAGCCAGTGAACGGACCTCTAATCTCGCGTTATCATTGCGTCTGGGCTGGGGCCCAGCGCCATTTAACGTCCATCGGCTACACTTTGGATCGCAATACAGCCCGGTAGCACTAAGCTGTCCACTCCTTACTTCATTTCCTTTTCATCTTTCTACCTCAATGTATTAAAATAAGGTATTTATTACTATATTTTGTAACCTATGGATAGCATTTCGTTGAGTTGGGACTCTTGTAGTCAGAAGACGGGTTGCCAATTGCTTGCACAATTCCTTCGATACGCCTTTTATTCCACGATGTGGAGATTTCTGTCCATTTAATTCCTACTTGCCTACAGGCTTCACATGGGTTGTGACAGTAGGAGTTTTTTTGGAAGGCAAAGGACGTTGTTTTTAACGTTCCCTCTTGTAGCTCCGCACCCACATATTGCTCTCCCGTGAACTCAGAAATGTTTAACCGTTTTGTTATCAGGACTGTCCGGCTGGTTTCATCGGACACGGTCATCCAAGAAGCTGTCCTACACCTGCCTCACATTTGGAAATCACATCCTCTCTATCTGCGCGCAAGTGTGCATGTGACATATCCATCCACCATCCTTAGCATCACATCAATACTTCTTACTGCTGTTTCTCAACTCTATAGTTACAAACTGAAATAAATTTCTATACTGATAAGCTATGAAGGAAGGGTATATGCTAATCGCATTAAGCAAATCTTTGGGACAAAGCTACCTCGTCAGCACCACAAGCAGTAGGTTCCTGTGTGACGATGAGGCGGCATAGATGGCGGTTTTACGTTGGAGTTCACGTCAAGATCAACTTCGTACACCGAGAACCCGGCAGTGCACCCGAGTTACGTAGTCGGTCTAACGTAGAGACAGCTGCTTGCGCGGCATTTTGCCATTTGTATGCTGTGCTCTCTGCTCCCTCAAACCAAGGACCGTGCAGGCCGCGTAAACTTTGCTCTCGGAGGCTAACTGCGCGAAGCTTACTTTTCAGCTTGTTTCATTCGTTGCTCCCAAATCATCCTACTTACAGTGAGCTGTGTCTTGCATACGTACCGCGTTCCGTTTGTTGATCTAACGAGCTACTCTTATCGTTGTCGCTCCGTACTCTCCTACCCCCTCATCATTGCGAACACGCTGGTGTCACTGAACACGTTAAATTCCTTCTTCACCCAACACAAAACAGTCCTTTTCACCGGAGGTGTTCACCGTTTCGAACCTCCTGGCTTAACCCATTTCGAGCCACCCCATTGATAAGGCATTTGAATTAATAATTGTACAATATTCATGTGCACATCGCATATTGTAACTCTTATTGCACTGTCTATTATTGAACGGTTGTAGGTTAACTTCCTGAGGTCCCTATTTGCATGAACGAATTTTTGCGATGAATTTTCTCCAGGTACACAATATCTTCCACTAATAGATGTAGATTACACATCATTTGTTCAATTTAAACCGGGATATCGGTTTCTGTTTGACTTGAAGGCAGTTACCTGCGTCTTTTTGTGGGAACATAGGTTTCCGTACGTCACACCACAATTATCCTCGGGTATGATTGCAGCTGATGCATTTATTTTTTTTAAATCTATGGTGCATTCTTTCGGTGTACATTTTTGCACTATGCCATGTTTGCTCGGCAGGGTCCTCGTATCACCGTAAAACTGCGGAAACATTGATGACCAATTTGGAAAATGCCACTAAGCGATTACATTTGTTACACAACGAGTACCTAATGTCTCTCTGGACTGCGAACCATTTCCAACAGTGGCTCCACGCTCAACTGCGACCTTGTCTGTTGAATGGAATTGAACGAACTATGCGGTTGACATGCGAAGTTGTGTAAGTTGCTGTGGCTCAGGCATGTGTCGCCATCAGAAACCTTCATGTGACTTGCCACTCCTTTTTGTGTTCACCGCTGTAATCGCACCATTACTTTCTCTGAAGTTCTCGTTTAAACACAGTACACTGTGTACAATCGGCAATTGGTTGTGACTCATTTTTGCTTTATTTTTTTAAACTTCTATGTAAGGATTCTTTTCTATGTTCGCTTGTTCCAGCCGAAATCTTCATCTTTAGAAACATGTTCCCAATAATGTTGTAGTGAATTGCAAACAAAACAGCTCTCACCGGCTTTCTTTATTTCATCTATACACGTTCTGTTGCGAAAGATAGATCGTAAATTACCCCCGAGCACGTATCGTCACTTTCTGTCACCGCGTGTTCTTCTGGTTATGTTGATCCGGTTGTTCAGTTTCCTACTGCAGCGTAGTTCTACCCCAATCCCGTTCATCATCCTAGTCGTCATGCGCTTTAGCTAGAGATGAGAACCACCTCAGCTATTGTGCAGTACTACTGTACTGCTGTACGTAAAAGACAAAAAGATAAACAATACCATTGCGCTTTCTTACTATTGTTACCAACATTGTGTCACTAGCGTGGTCGTACTTGAAGGAAAGGCTAAGCGAATTGGGGAGGGCAAAGAAACTCACCCCATAAGCACTCCCGTTAACCTTACTATGATACCAACATCGCTTAACTCTCAGTTGTTGTGGAGTGCTCCGAGCTGAGCAAATTGATTGCAAACGTTTCGCCACCATTCGAGGTGGCATCTTCAGTGCGAGTTTGCTAGCAGTTAAATAGCAGTAGCTGGTAGAAAGCAAACCAAATAGATCCCTTAACTCGCAGGAGTCAACTGCTTGTCTGTGACAGTGTTGTCATAGCATCTTCCTCAGTTTAGCTAGGAACCGGTTCGTTTCTTTGACACCCTACATCCCATTCTAAACACTAAACCAAATACACGGAAGCTATGCGTAAGAAGCAGACCTCAGCTATTGTGCCGTTATTCAAAAACAGGGTATAAGAAACAAGATCGATATTGTAACCATTACAGAAAACAAAATAAAAATTAACTAGAGTGATACAATGATTTGTGCTATATAGCGTATTGATTAAGAGATCGTGGTCGTCGGAGAGGGAAGCTAAGTGGAAAAAGTGGGATAAGAAATTCACCACACAGACGCCATTACGGTCAACTCTTCGCCATGTCAGTACGTGTCTCCTACCATGTCCATGGTCCGTGGAGTCCCAACCCGGCAGTGGGGCGGCACCAACCGACGCATAATTCCTGCAATCCATTCGATCATTACTCCTGTGTTTGTTGGTTGGTTGTATTTTCTCGCGACGCATTTGCCATCGATGATTGTTACACCTTTTGTCTTCGCTCCACAGACAACATCTTTTGGTGTTTGGCGGTGAAAGCAGTGCACGCCCTACTCCTCTTTGGCTAGAGGACTTGCAAACGGATAGAAATCTAATGACTCTACTTGCGCAAAATAGGTAAGCTTCTTTTCTGGTTCTGTTTTAAAAAAAAATTGTGTCTACTGCGACTAAGGATGAAACTCAAGCTGGCGTTTACGGGCACTGTAGTGATTTGCTCAGGTTCATTATGATCGCATTCAAAAAACCCTGGTCATTCTGGAGCGGATAGCCTGTGTATGTTCATGCTAGAGAATGATTGAAACGATTGCCGCCTACTTGAGTCTACTAGACGATGTGGACTTTCATCAGGCAACAGAATTCCACATTAAATCTTTTCAGCGCTGCTCAGCGAAGACAACTTCCACTACACGTGTTACTCCTATCGATGCACTTGTTCATTGGACCACTTCTAGACTCCTACGCTGTCTGTTTGTACATTGGTATTTAACCCTGCATATTTCCTGATGTCCCTCTAAAACCGTTGCGATACATTTCAAGTCGTGTTAACCCGAGGTTCTCGCACGCTTGCGTGTCCAACGCCATTGGTCTTTAGTCACCCATTCGTACTTTATTATCCCATTTTGTACATATATATTCGTGAAATCGCACCTTTGTTTAACATTCGCAGCACACAATTCCCTGATCCAATCCGCTATGAGTTTGATTCGAATCTAATGCCACTTGTCCCAGCCGGTGCCCCTTCCTACGACTCCCTGATACTCAGCGATTTGACCAGACAGTCGTTCAGCGAACTGTGAGTGTCTCAATTCTTCTGTTCTATTGTTTCGCCATGGTACCCTCCGTCCCCACATGACAATGTAAGCTCCATGGGGTGCATTTAGTGCGTTCCATCAGTGACTTAATTGTTAACCGCGCTGAGTGTCTTCTATGCTCATCGCAGTCGTCCGTCTGCGTGACATGATTGTACATATCCACTTATTCGAATGCTTGCTATTCAGCAACATCAATCGTTAACACAGAAACAAATTATAATGGTGCAAAAAGGAATTTTCGCACGTTTTTACACACACAAGATTTTTAGTTTGTTTTTATGTTGCATTGGAAATTAACTAATAGATGATGCGCCAGAACAACACTTGCGCCACTGCTGTGCGTTGCGCGTCTTAACATCCAACCTTTTCAACCGCTGCTCCCTATTTTGGAAGGCTGGCTGAGGTTGTTTCCCTTATGCTACTTCTTCACGTCATTGGTTATCCACTACGCGGCCAAACATTCCCGAATTTAGAGACAAAATCTGATAATCGGATTGCTTGCTGGTGTACAAGGTCACTGGGGAGAACATGTGGCTATGACTTTTTAGTGGCGATACACATACGCCACATCGCAGACATTTGTGACTTCCTATTGCGCGAACCTCCGCCAAGCAAAAACCCGTCATTTATAACATATATATGGTTGGCGACATCCGGTTTCGGATTTGTCTGTTTCTGTGGCCTCCACCGGGACTGCCACAGAACGCCTGCGCCTACAAAGGGACCGTGTGTGGCTTGCGCTGCATCACCCACAGCTCCAACCACACACCCAGGTGTAAACCCGAAGGAATAACACCGGGAGGCATGTGGGTGGGAGACAGGTTTCATCAGCGGAGCCGGCCCACACTCCTTCACAAACAAACACAAGCACACTGTATTTGGGAATCAATCGCACGCAAAGCGGTGGCTGGACCGTAGTCCGCTCCACACTGAGTACATGGAACCACTTTTCGAGCCTAGCACGGCCACAAGGACCGTGCACCCCGTCCCCTCCAGCAACGACCTGGAACCAGTATGGACGAGGTAGTGGGTAATAGACAAGTAGGCACCTTGCCAACATGCACATCAAGCGCAGCCACACCTGGGATGTCAAACAACAGCCAATCACTTGAAAGGATATTATAAAATAAAATAAATCTTTTAAAGCATATGGTTATGCCGGCAAAGCTCTTCGCTAAATTAGCATATGAACTAAGCTGGTTAGCAACGAATCCTCCATAATTACGAAATTTTTAGAAGTTATTCAGAAAATGCCACAGTCATGATAAAGCTGGCGAAGATAACCACAATAAGCGTAAGCAACGAGTGCAAGTTAATAGAGGATTATTCACGTAGACAGAAGAAACCAAATAAAGTGGAATGAAATTTATCCAGCCTAAATAGACCAAATTTAAGTGTAATTTTTTTAGTCCAACTGCGGTGAAGAAGCATCAAGAATGCAACATCAGCCTCAGCATGGGTATATATATATATATATATATATATATATATATATATATATATCATGCTTCTTCACCGCAATTGAGCTATACCGGCTTACACTTAAGCTAGATCTTCTTCACCTGGCAAAAATGTATTCCACTACATTTTCTTTGCTCATTTTTGTCATCCTGCTGCATATTCCATGTCGATTTTACCTGCTTATTTTCCTTTAAATTATATCTTACTTGTTTGATGTACATGCTGTGGCTGTGAATGTTAATAAGGTACCCACCTGTCTAACACCCTCCACCTCGATAACTGGCTCCAGGTGACTGGCTAAGCTTTGTTGGCGTGCACAGTCACCGTGGCCGTGCTAGGCTCAAAGTGTGGTCCATGCATCCAGTGTGGAGCGGGCTATTGTCCTGCCACCGCCCTGTGTACGTCTGACACGCATGGTTTCCCAATTCGGCGTGAATACTGCTGTGCATGTTGAAGGAGTGTGGGCCGGCTCCGTTGATGAAACGTGGCTCCCATCCACTTGTCTCCCGGTCTTATTCCCTCTGGTTTACACTGAAAATGGGAGGTGTGGATGGGTCTGTGTGTTGTGCATCGTAAGCCGCCGATTGTCACTCTGTAGGCGCAGGCGTCTTGTGACTGTCCTATGGTAGCCACAGTGACAAGCAAATCCGGAACTGGATGCCGCCAACCATATATCTATTATCCAAAGCGATGAGCATACTGTAGCTGTTAGAAACACCTTTTTACATTTCTCGCAGAAGCGATCAAACTGGGTGCCTTTCTGACTCAGAAGAGTTGGCTAACAGAGGACCCCTACCGACCTCGTTACTTTTGCGAGGCACGTTTTTACTGTCACGTTAGTGCGACGTTTTGACTTACTTGTGCATTGGAAGTGTTAGCAGTCAGGTTGTCTACAACTTCCGCATTAACCTCCAAACTTATGCCTTCCCAAGTTCTCTGTAGCCATGTATTGATAGAATTGAACGCCTTTGTAGGTGCCTTTCATTCTATGTAACTCTTTCAGTGCAGCTGCAGGTTTGCCCTATGATCGCCGGATAAAGTGTGTACCTTGTCTGTATGGCCCCGTAGCCCGCATGCACTTTAGCTGCCTGCTACTTTCCTCAGCCTTTTATGTGCATTCACTGTGCGGTCATCTGTTTTTCCATCACTATCATTCCTCTTCTCTACAGGATACACCGACACAAGAGTAATGAGCTGCTGCATCGGGAAACAGTAGACCATTTGACCCGCGAGTGCATTCAGTGGGAGGAAGCACTTGCTCAATGGCGAACTGTCTTTGCCAACCCGTTACCCAATCCATGGAACCAGGCATCCAGTTCTCATAACCTTGGGGCATTAAATTCCGTCATGTCGACATCCACCTCCACAGCAAGTTCTTTCCACGAAGATGCCAGTATCAGAACGGATACTTGTTTAGATGGTGCAATTACTGTCCCAGATCTCCAAGAATTGTGGCAGGACGATCGCGCCAGACCGGTGAAGTAAGTTTCCGATCGGTCATATTGCCGAATCTGGATCTAGGCTGCCTTCGTTCGAGTTGACCTCTCACACTTTTCCTATTTTATTAGCATCAACAACGGCAGAACTTCTGTAACCTTCATTTGCTTGAGGAATTGTCTTCGTTTTATCCGTATCAGCACGTCGCAATCGTTTAGAATGTGGCGCTATCGACCAATAGTTCATTAAGAATACTTGACCAAATTCCGCACTCTCAGTTACAATCTGTTACAACCTGGCACACGTGTTTGGCTACAGTCCTGGAATGTATTCGCGTTCACCATTGCATCGTCATCATCATTATATACGTTAGCTAGAGGTGGAAAACACCACAGCAATACTTGTTTCCTTCATTTTGTGATTGTAGACGAACACAGGTGATTTTTTTCTAACCGGACCACATATTTTTCTGTATGCTAATTTTGTATCTCTTGCAGTTTCCAGTCGTTATGCAAATTCCGTTGTGTCAATACGTGTTCGTATCCGCTTGCCTTTTGTACTTACTAACAACGCTGTTTTACGAGATCGAGTTAGCACAAAAGCAACTGTAGACGGATCCATGGATTAATAGTCATCACCTACTTAACTAGCTGGGCTGTTATTTGTTATCTAATGACCTAAAGGTTACTCTGTGTTCTGCATGGATTCGGAGTGATGAATGTTGTAGTTCTTTTCACTACGGTTCGCTGTAACATTATGCAGACCGGTTTCTAGTCTCTTATCTCTCCAAGGACTTCTTGCCATCAGTCACTGCTGTTGAAAAACAGTCATTAAGGGACAAGTGTTTATTCAACAGTCTACTCAGCGAAGATACAGCATTGTGGAGGGTTTCGGTGTGGCTCTCTCCCATCCCTGCACTTCACGACCTACGGTTTCATCTTTGTTTAGACTCATCAGGTAGAGATAGCTGAGCTGGTAGTGGAACTTGGCGCATAATGCTTGGCGGCTATCGCCATGATCACTAGGCCACTGAGCTCCGTGAGCAGTGTTTGACACAACGGTTAGATTGCGCGTCGCAATCCAAGACCCACGGCCGGTGCTCCAAAACCCGAAAATCAAAATTACAGCGTGTTTGATAAGTCAAACTCCTCGTTCTCGTCCATAACTAACGACCCTTATGAGTCGATGAGGTTTCTCCTTTGACTCAATTAAAAACGGTGATTAACTCACACAAATGTCGGCCAGTCCATGTCCAGTAATCGAATCCCTTATGCCCGTCTCCCACTGGCTATCTGGCTCGTTCGGTTGGTCTATTCGTTCACTGTGGTATGACACCCATCACACTTATCTGATTAGATTGGTCCTCTTCACCAATACATCTTTACTTGTCCTTCAAGGCCCTTTTTCACTATTTGGACGAAACCCTATCAGCTGGCCAGTCGAAACTGGTGTGGTTAGTATCATTGTGTGGGTCACTGATGGCCTATACACTGGGAACCTCAAAGCTGCTTGCGGTTGACCTCTGGGTTATATGCAATGTCGCTGGTATGTGTTAGGATCGCCTCGCGGGCCACTGTGGGACTCTTCGATCGATTTTCCACAACCATGTTTATATCATTAGCCTAAGTGTTCATCACGCACTATCTTTCCGAATCCACCCACCACTTACCTGTATGCAACTAAGCGAATCCTGATTGTATCGCTTCACCTTATTGGATGCATGTTGTTTCTATGGCCACATTTCGTGGGGTTGATGCAACCATAGGCTGAAATCGTATCTTGTTTCGCGTCGCAAAAGGGGGCTGGTGATGTTTCATTCACATTCCAATATCCATTGACTTGATTCTTTTCTGCACCCAACTTGCTTTTCTGGTTTTAGTTGTATTTCCGTGCCGAATTGATGGCATCCGTTTTCTAGATTCACATTTTATCCTGAATCCAAATGGTTACAAGATCTCCGGGCCTTTGGTGAAGTGTGCGGTGGTTTGTCTTCCATTACGCGCAGGTCCACCTGAGCACCCCATTTGTGCATTGTGAACCAGGGAGATTAATACCAGGTAGCTTGCGGAGATGGTCTTTACCACCTGTTATCAGTGGGTTGGTGATTCGGAAATATGGTAACCTAGGATAGCAATAATAGCTATGATTTGTACAGACAGCCTTCCCAGCACTTCTGTTGTGTTACCTTTTGTGAAGCAGAGTGCATACCATTTACGCTGTCATGTCATTTGGTAGGGAATGCGTGCACAGCTACGCACCCAACACCACAACTGTACTGTGAACCGTTGCGTGACACCCAACTGACGTTGACATCCTCTCGAAACCAGTTGACCCTAACAGGTGTAGCCAACCATGACTGCGACAATGCGCGTCCGGTCGTTCATTTACAGCTTGCGTAGACCGACGCGACAGGATATGCACCAATTGCGTCCTTGTCGCTGGTGTCCACACGAGGACCGTACCTTTGTGTTACCGAACAACAACAACAACCTAACGTTTCTTGTTTGACTTTATCCTGCTTTATCAGCGAATGTTATATCAATAAAAGGGACTTTACAATGGGAATGACAGTCGTTTACGGGCATGATTGAGTTGCATGCAACACTACAATCCAATTGTTTATTTGTTCTCCGAGTTTGGCGGTTTTGTCGCAAACGTTTCACCACTATACGAGCTGGCATCCTCAGTGCGTTGAGTTGCGACATTTTAACACCTTGATTCCAGCCCAAACAACAGGCATTTTTATAGAAACTTGAGAAAGATCGAATGCACCAAACCACCCTTCTTCCTTATCGGTTCAATATAATGGAGAGAATGTGGATGAGCTACTTCCAACCTCCAAATCTAGAGTGACTTAATGGATTAGATGGGGGTAGTATATTACATCAATCAACGCAGATTGAGAGAGTTCAGACAGTTCGCTGGGTATTCCATCACTCATTCGGTGGTTTCCTTCCACCTACTCCCATGGAATGTCACTCGTCATCAACGTCCATTGACTGACTTGGTATGGCGTCGAGAGATTTTCATGCAGTGGATGCCCACACGATGGCAGAGGATTTGCCTACGTATCCAAACTCGCCTAACCACTAATTTAACCAGTTTGGAGATATTATTCACTAGTCACAGGCATCAGTACTTCGTCATTGATAGTTAAACCAGCGGTTTCCTTCTTTCGGTCAGAGGGGTGGGATACTCTGTCGTATAAATAAATGAATAAATATGTGCTCGATTGAACATGCGACGGCGCCCATGATGGGCACAGGTCAGAATTACCTAGTGTACATTCTCCCACATGTAAAAATTCGGTAAAAAGAGATGAATTTAGCTCCGCCACTACCAACAATACGTATATTCCCAAGTTCCATGAGTTGTAATTCGACGATGTGATTTTCAGTTTCCACTCCCGTTTATGCGGCTCGAAATCACTACCGGATCCGCAGTGTGAATTTGCTTCGTTCTCCGGGTTTTTCTCTCTTATCACTGAAGATCGCATGGCGCGCTCCAGTGGATGTACATGAGAGTGTTGATCAGGATGGATGCGATTAAATCCGGGCAAATACCAACGGCATTCCACCACCTCTATATCCTGACAACCTCTCTAAGTTAACTGTTTTTCTTCATTGCTTGAACTCCCACTATGTAAACCTCCGGATCCAGCCCTCTGCATGTTGACCGTCTTGGTGTGATCCCTTGAGTTTTCAATTTCCGGTTTTGTTGTATTCTTGAATACAGTTTTGGAGACTTCCAGATGTTCCTCTACAGTCGCACGAACAACACATGTGGCAACTACAGACTCTGTGTGTGTGTATGCGAGCGACACCGGCACACGTTCGAAGTTATTTAGAATGAACACGACCTAACAAACGTCACTCACACAGAACCCGCAGCATCGGAAATGTACTTACTTGAGCCACTGCTGCAGTACCCGGTACTGAAGGTACCCGACAGGTGGAGATTGAAAGGTCACATGCACTGCATAGACTGACTTTCGAACAAATCGCTGGTGTGATTCAAAGCAGGTGGTCAGCTCGAAGGCATAGAAACAGCATTCATATAGCCACAATCTACATTAAGGAGAGGAGTGGTAGTGTATCTTTTTCATAATGTATCCTACTATTTGCAAAACCTTTTGCATTTCCGAGGGTGGTGAAACTTTGATCGGCGGCCATTGGTTTCATGTAGCCGGTTAGATGTCGTGGATAAGCAGGTTCTTCATGGATCCATAGCCACCGTATTGATCAAAGGTGGTGCATAATGTTGTCCAATAATTGACAGCTTAGCAGGGGAAGCTGTATCCCCGGGGGTTAGCTATGTTCTCTACACTCTGGAAGATTATTTACGCTAAATCACTACTAGCTATCTGGTTACATAGCTACACCTTGAATTTGAATACTGCCACACTGAATTGTCTAGCGCCGTTCTCTTAGCGAATGGTTCACCCAAGTACGTGTTACATTACAGTAAAACCTCCGAAGTTAACTATCTCTAAATCCTGATCACCTCTCTAAGTTGACCGTTTAATTTCTCACTGTATGAGCACTTACCATGTAAACCTTATGAATCCAGACCTCTGTATATTGACCATTTTTGTCTGGTCCCTTGAGTGGTCAACGTATGGATATTTTCACTGTATAGCATTTAAATGGGGGAAAGTGATCTTTTGTCTGCACACAAGGGAATGCATGCTGTTCGGGAGGTAGCAACAAATAATTCTGACCAATCCGTTTGGCTCAAATTCTTCCTTTTCTGTGATAACCTGTTGCTTGTGCACATGAATGTGAACGGATAATAGCATAAGAATGATGTGGAGAAATTAATTTAAATTGTCACACCTTTCAACTTCTATTTGGATATGATATCTGAGAGGTAGGCTTGGAAGTCGGTAAAGATAAATGCTGAATGGAAACAATTAGCGAAAAGAAACAAACCTTGGTTGAAGCTAAAACCGCGACTGTAAGATATATCAGTACGATTGTTTTGACACAAACGCATGGTACATGGTCAAAGCAAGGCGAAACGAGTAGTGATGAAAGTCAAGGTC